TCCAGACCACGTGCCTGTTAGGGTGGGGGCAGCAGGGTCCCTGCACAGCCTGCTCAGTGGCCCTGGAACCCCTCAGCTCTTAGCTGGGGTGTCAGAGTGTCCTGAAAAGTTAACCCTTCCCTTCCTCCTAGTGGAGAAGGGGTGGACACTGCCTTGGGGTGGGCTGGTCAGGGTGGACACTGCTTTGGGGTGGGCTGGTCCAGCAGCTGCTCACAGACCTTTTATCCATACAGGGTGATCCTGGAACAGCTGGACCACCTGGGGCCAAGGTGAGTGCCTTTACTTGGGTTCAGGAAATTGACCCGTCCCAGGGAGCAGGGAGGGACCCCCAGGCAGAGGCCAGTAGCTCTGTCGCCTCCGAGCTGCAGTAAACGGGTGCGTGGCCAGGCCTGGTGTGCTCGGGGCAAACCTCCCCCGCCAGCCCAGGGCTGAGTCTGCCTTTGCCCTGCGTCTCCCTCGCACCTGCCGGTCTCTCTTTAGAATGTGAGACATGCCCGTTTTAAAGGAGAACCCTCAGGGCATCCCCCCAGACCCCCTCTAGGTTTTGCCAAGTCAAGGGACTCAGGCTTCCTCCCCTCCCCAGCTCTGCCCGGTAAATCACGGGAGCCACCTAAGAGCTGCCTGACCGCCTGCTCCCTGCCACCGGCCCCCACCTCTGTCCCCTCCTTCCCACACCCACAGTCCCCCAGAAGGCTGACCAGGGTGAACTGCCCTTCAGGGCTTAAGCTGGTGACCGACAGAAGCCTGAGCCATTTTCATGTCCACGGACGCGTGGCTTCCCCTTGGGGACCCCCCATAGTCCCCAGGCCGTAGGGCTGACATGCTGTGCCCTCGTGTGTCTGTTCTAGGGAGAAGTCGGAGCAGATGGAGCCCCCGGGTTCCCCGGCCTGCCCGGCAGAGAGGGCACTGCTGGGCCCCAGGTGAGCGACCGTGGTGGGCCCAGGGTGCTGAGGAGGTGAAACCCCAGAAGAAGCCATGCCAGGATGAGAGCTGGCACCGGGTGCACCCCTCCAGGGATCTCCTGGGAGTCTGTGTCCCCCACCGGATTCAGTTCAGGGGTTTTGGTGTTTGCCTCCCCTCCCCTGGGCCTCCATTTGGTCAGGGAATGAAAAACTCTCCCAGTCTTTATTCAAAGCCAGTCCCTGGAGGTCTGGGGTCTCCTGGTGGGGGGGGGGGTCCTATTTCTGCTCATTATGAACCTTTTCCTTACTGTCTCTGTAGGGACCTAAAGGAGATAAAGGGAGCCAGGGAGAAAAAGTGAGTGTCCCCCGTGGGGCAGGGTGGGGGGCTCAGGGCCTATGGGTGTGCGGTGGGTGGACAGTGGGGCTGGGACGTCCCAGCACAACTGAGCTTCAGGGTGCTGCCCTGGGGTCCAGGCCCAACAATTACCCATGTGGCAGAGACTCTGGGCAAAGATCCTCAAGTCTGCAGGGTCGGCTCCCAGGCTGGGGTGCTGTGTGTAAGGTGTGGCAGTCCCCTATTGGAGATCACTCTGCCCAGGGAGGGCAGCTCTGGGACTGCTGTCCACAGTCCCCGGGTATGTCCTGGGGCTCTGGGAAGCCCCTGCAAGGCCTGGGGATGCTTTGGAGTCTCAGCCAGCACAGCCATGTGGAGGTGGTGGACAAGTGGTATTCTCTTCCAGGGCGACCCAGGGAAGGATGGAGTGGGACAGCAGGGTCTCCCCGGGCCACCTGGACCCCCAGGGCCTATCGTCTACGTGTCGGAGCAGGATGTAAGAACCCTGAGTGGGTGGGCCCCCGATCTGCCCAGACATCCCTGCCCACCACTGGTCACACCCAACCACACGGGCCACGCTCTGACTCCCTGGTGGGAGCAGGAGAGGCCGGACCTCGGTCAGAAATGCCCACGATGAGCCTGAGCTTGTTGCTGCAGACAAGACACACTGGTGGGTGGGGATCGAGCGGCCTGCGCCGGGAGGATACAGTGCTGGATCTTGTGCTTAGGGTTCTTGTCTGGGCCAGTCCATCTGTCCTTGATGATGTAGCCCCAGAACTGCAGTAGGTGATCTCATTGTCCTCATCAGGAAAATGTAGTGGAGCCCTCAGTTCTTGGTGAAGGGCTGCGTCGGGGTCTGGAAGCTTCCTCCCCACTGAGGGTTTCTCGACCATCACATGGTGTCCCTCTTGTCCACATGTAACCCCAGTGCCAGGTGCAGATGCGTCCCCTCCAAGCCCCCACCTACCTGGGACACAGAGGCCAGGCATGGCCGCACAAGCCCACGCTCTTTAGAGCAGAAAGTCTGAGCCTCCAGGGTGGGACGCAGGCCGGATGGAGCAGGGCGGGGTATGGCTCAGTGACTCAGTTCCTGCTTCCCCTTGGCCAGTGGAGAAGGGGCTGCCCCGTGCAGGGCTAGGAGCTGGGGTGACATTCTGGGCTCAGATCCCGGCCCCAGCACTGTCAGCCGTGTGACCCTGGACAAGTGGCTCCACCGCTCTGCTCGTTTACGAGGTGGGGGTGTGGTGGTCCTGTGAGGAGGGGTGGCGGTCGGTGTGTGGTAGAAGCCAGCCTGGCCGGAGAGGCCGCAGCTCCCGGGGGCAGCAGGCGACGAGAAGCAGAGCACAGCTCCAGGAGGTGCAGGGGCCTGGCCCAGCAGACCCCCGCCCAGCCTCGGCCACAGAGGGCATCGGCATGACAGCCAAGTCCTCAGAAGAGCCCCAGGTAGGCGGGGCTGTCCCCGCATGGCGAGCAGCGAGTGTCTGCAGAGTCTGAGAAGTATTTTAAACAAAAACGGACTTGCAAGTCTTGGCCCTTAGGCAGGTGGAAGTCTGGGCACATGAAGACGTCCGCCCCTTGTCCCGGGTCTGGGGCTGCTCCAGCCGGTGCGGGAGGCGGGCTCCTGGGAAGTGACAATAACCAGAAAGACTGCCGAAGGCAAAAGTTCCCTTTCAGATTTCATGTTGCTGTTTTATTGATCTTGTAAGAGTAGTATGATGGGAGTTGACTTCCATTTTAAATGTAGTTTTTTTCTTCTAATTTTTATTTTTCTGCCACTTCCTGACAGAGAGCGATCACCAGCGTGTCAGGATCTGAGGTACATGTCCCCATTTCTAAGGAGCCGCCATGGGGGGTCTGAACGTGTGCCAGGGTGCGGGTTGGGTGGCTGCTTGGCCAGGGTGCCGTGTGCTGCCTGAGCGCGCGGTGGCCCCAGAGCTGACGCGGTCCCTCTCTCCGCAGGGCCGGCCGGGCTCTGCAGGCTTCCCCGTGAGTGCCGCGCTCGGAGCTGCTGCTTGCCTGCCACCACCCCCACCAGCAGGACTGTGCGGGAGGGGTCTCCTCTTTGTACACACAGCAGCCACCGAGCTGCATGGGCCAGCTAGAGGGTGGGGGCAGTCACTGGGTGGGGAGCCCCTGGCAAGCCCAGCGCCCAGTGGGCGCCACGAGGCTGAGGAAGCTTGGGCCTGAGCAGATGCCGTGGTGCCTGGCAAGGGGGTCTTGGCTGGGGTGCAGCACGGGGGCCTCCACCTGCCACTGGTCAGGGAGCAACAGGGGGAGAGGGTGCTGTCATCCGGACGGGGAGACTCGGGTCACCAACCTCTCATTCCTGCCTGGCCTCCATTCTAGGGACCCGCCGGGCCCAAGGGCGAACCGGGCTCCAGGGGCGAGCAGGGCTTCCCTGGACCCAAGGTAAGGCTTGGGGTGCCGTCTGCTCAGACTCCCACGGCTGCCCCGCTGCCCGAGCCAGAGCTGACGTGCCTTTGGTGGACAGCTCCTCTGTGTGACCTCCAGGGGTTCTCCTGGAGCCCCAAGCCAACCTCCACACCTGACCCCCTGTGAGCCATGACTGGAGCATGTGACAGATTCCAGCTTGGGTTGCCCTCGTGGCCACTTCACTGGGCCTGTGAGGCGATGCTGACCACAGGGCCCCCTCACCCATTTCTGTTTTCTGGGTGTTCTGCATGAGGCCCCTGGGGGAGGGGGTGCCTGTGCAGCCGCGAGGCCACTTCCATTGCCGGGAGCGTGGCCCCTGACCCTGAGACTTACTGCATTCCAGGGCGAGAAGGGTGAGCCCGGCAGCCCCTTCGGCCCCAATGGCAGAGCCCTGGCGCCCGCCCAGAAAGGAGCCAAGGTGAGGGCAGGTGGCCCCGCTCCCAAGCAGGGGCACGCAGTATCTGGGGGGCTGTGGAGACAGAATGGAGGGGTTTGTCTTCCAGAGAGAGGCCAGTTGCTGTGGATGCACATGCTCCCCTGAGCGGGATTCTGGAAACTTCTGTAGCCTGGGCCCTTTCCACTCTTCCTTAAGGCCCTCCAGAGCCTGCCCTGGTGGCTGAACCCACCCTGCAGAGAGGCAGGGGAGCCGCGGGGCTGCACCTCTGCCCACCTTGCCTGCGGGAGGCGTAGGAGCCCCAGGCTGCGCCCAGCTCTGCTCCTGGCCCCCGCTAGAGCCCCCCACCCTGCAGGTTCCTGGCTGCCTGTCTGGCCTCTTCAGGACCCTGCTGCTGGGGAGCAGTGGGTCCTGGGCCCTCCTTCCTCCCAGCGGCCCCTGAGCACCTGCAGGAGTCTGAGCATGGTTGGGGTCAGGAGTTGGTTCCCTGAGGGGCTTGTGTCCTGGTCCCCCCACCCCAGCAGGGGCCACCAGACCAGCTCTGGGGGAGAGGCCTGGGGAGGAACTGGACCCCCGTCTGGAGGCTGTGGGGGATGGGCTCTCACAGGCCTGCACAGGGAGCCCAGGGCCCTCAGGATCATTGGGGGATGGGCTGAGGAACGCTGAATAGAGAGGGCTCCTCCAGCCGCCTGGCCTTACATCTGAGGTGACCCCAGCCAGGGCACTAGGAGGGGCCCCATTCATGCACTGTCCCCGGACACAAACCCCAATCCAGAACCTTCTCCCTGTGGTTCCTGCTCTCCCCTGGTGTTGTCAGCAATCTTGGGAGCTCCTCCGAGGTGTCTAGATGGGCACAGGGACCCTTGAGGGAGGCTGCCTAGTTGGGGATGCACGTGGCCCCTAATGGTGCTTCTGGTTTTCTGTTCAGGGCGAGCCAGGCTTCCGAGGACCCCCGGTGAGTAGGACCCTCACTTCCTCTGTGCTGAGCACGCATGTGCTGTGGTCTGAAAGGATACGTTTCCCTCTTGTGGCTCCTGAGTATGTGTCACTGAGGTTTATATCCCAGATGCACCATCAAAATGCGTGGGCAGGAGTCGGGAGGGAGGCACAGCGGCGGCTCCGAGCTGATGGTGGCCATGGCTGGTCTCTGCACGGCCTCTGCCTCCATCTCACGATGCCCTGTGCAGCCTCTGATCCCCTAAATTGTGGCTCCTTTCCTCTCTACAGGGTCCATATGGACGGCCTGGGTACAAGGGAGAGATCGGCTTTCCTGGACGGCCGGTGAGGACCTGGGGTCTCTGGTGGGACCTCTGTGCCCTGCGTGGGCAGCTGGTTGGGCCTGTCAGGTGGGGAGCAGCCCAGGCCCATGGGGGCAACAGGTCCAGAGCAGAGTGGACAGCCATCCCTGCCCCGGCCCTCCCCCAGAACTGAGCCTGCCTGAGCATAGCACTTCCCAGATGTGGCTGAGGAGACGTCCTCACTGTGCCCATCTAACGTCCTGGAAAAAGCCCTAAGTGGGGCAGGAGCCATGGGCCTGGGTGGTGCTGGGGTCAGTCACCCCGCAAGGGACCTTGGGCAGGAGGAAGGGGTAAGGAGAGTCAGAAGAGGATGGTTAGGGGCTCCCCAAGGGCTGGGGGTATTCAAGGTGAAGCTGGTGAGCTGGGTCAGCCTCAGTTGGGGACTGATGGGGAGGCTGCAGCAGCCCCCGTGCAAGGGACCTTGGGCAGGAGGAAGGGGTAAGGAGAGTCAGAAGAGGATGGTTAGGGGCTCCCCAAGGGCTGGGGGTATGCAAGGTGAAGCTGGTGAGCCGGGTCAGCCTCAGTTGGGGACTGATGGGGAGGCTGCAGCAGCCCCCGCCCCTGCAGGGACACAGCTGAGGCCACGGTGTTGGCCAGAGTTCAACAGTGCCCACCCACTGTGCTCTGCCCCAGGGTCGCCCCGGGATGAACGGATTGAAAGGAGAGAAAGGGGAGCCAGGAGACGCCAGCCTCGGATTTGGCATGAGGGTGAGTGTCCTGCAAGGTGCGGGCAGGGGCAGCCAGGGGACCAGGGACCAGGAATGGCCTGGCTAGGGGGTGGGGTCCCACTTATGTCAGAGACTGCTTCAGAGCAGCCCTCTGACATGTATCCACATATGCATGTATCCACACACATACACATGCACGTGTGCACACATACACATATAAACATATATGCTCGTGCACACTCAATATACATGCACCTGCAGACTTGTGCATGCACACCTGCACTCACACATACGCACATGCACACCCATGCATGTGTGCACACTCATATACATAGGTGTGCACACATACTTGTTCACATGTGTACTCATACAAGTGCACCACACACCTACACATGTGCACAAGCACACATACATGCACACATGCACATAAATGGGTGAAAATCCAGTTAAACTCTCACACAAACACACAAGTTAAAGCCTCTGAGAGCGGCCTCCTTGGGTTAGCTTTTAGGGTGGAAATACCCACCGAACTTTACCCCAGGTTTGCAATTAGTAATCACAGGAGGGGACGTGTCCACGTCTGTCCCATTGTTGCTGCCCAGGCACCTCCCACAGCTCCTTGGGAGATGTTCTGGGCTCACTGTGACCTGGAGATGGGATGGGGACTGGCTCCTGTCCTCGGGACCCACAACCAGAGCAGACTGGGTGCATTCTTGGCTTAACGTCTTCAGACGCATTTGGCTTGCGGATTTCACTGATCTTCAGAACCGCTCCCTCCCGTGCCTGCTGCCCTGGTCACTGCCGATGCCCTGGCTGTGAGCCTGACTGACCAGAGCTTTCTGTCCCCCTACAGGGAATGCCTGGCCCCCCTGGGCCTCCAGGGCCCCCAGGCCCTCCCGGGACTCCTGTGTACGACAGCAACGTGAGTCGCCATGGTCCCCGCACTCCTTTCCTTTCCCCCTCTCTGGCTTTCTGTCCCTGGTGCAACGGGGCAGTGGATTAGAAGTGAGCTTCCAAGAGAAACCAAGCTTGGGGAGGGAAGGATTCTCTGGGTCTGGAGCTGACTTCTGGCTGGGATAATACCAATGGCCTGAGCTCGGGGAGGGGGTGGGATTCCCACTTTACCAGGCTCAGCAACCCACACATGTGAGGCAGGTCGCATGATGACCAGAGCTCCTGATTCCAAGTCCTGTCTCCTCCCCCCAACCCATGCCCCTGTCTGTCCAGGGAGGGGGGTTGCCAGAGGGGCAGCGGCTTCTGGGCTTGGGGACCCAGGTAGGTGGTGGCCTCCATTTCCAGAGCAGTGACCCTCAGCAGCCACCTTTGGCCATTCTTTGCAGGCGTTTGTTGAGTCCGGCCGCCCTGGGCCTCCAGGATTGCCAGGTGAGGGCTCCCGGGCTCACATCTCAGGGAGCGGCTCTGGCAGTGGGGACCAGTAGCCTTTCGCAGCAATGCAGAGAAAGCCGAGCTCCAGAACTCACACTCCTTGCTTACCCTGGGTGTCCGAGGCAGCGAGGAACCCCTAGTGCCCTGTGCGTGGGCCCACGCCCCAGTCCTAATCATAGTCCCTCCCAGCACAGCCTTCCAGGTGGCCTGGCCACTGAGGGAGAGACACTTAGGTGGCTGAAGTTAGATCTTGCTCCCGTGTGGCCCTGCTATCTGTCCGTGCACCCTCCCTCAGCACAGCTGGCTGCACTGGGACCCCGTGCCCTCTGTTCTCCATAAGCTCCTGCTCCAACTGTCCCTCTCTTCCACCTGAGGTCCCTCCTGGTCCAGGCCACTGTGCATGCAACACCCTCTGGGGTGGGGGTGTGCACGGCAGGAGGGGCACTATCCCAGAGGCCCTTGCTAGCACATTTGGTGAAGGGCACTGGGGTCTCTGTTCCTCCAGGATACCAGGGGCCTTCTGGACCAAAGGGGGACAAAGGAGAAGTGGGCCCGCCTGGACCACCAGGTGAGCACACCGTGGGTGTCCCAGGCTCAGGGGCTGTGCTGCACAGCCAGTAGGTGGACAGTGGCACCCAGAGCCCTCAGTGCGGGCCCTGGACCTGCTGTGCTGTGGTTACTGTCTCATTCTCCTGGAGGAAGGAAGCCCCTTCCTGGATCACGGAATCCTTGCAGGACCTGGAGTAGGGGCGGCCTGGTTGGCCTTACAGCCCAGGGCCCAGGAGGGCTGCAGGGACAGGCAGTCTGAGGCAGTGTCCCTGAGCAGCACCTCCCAGTGCGTCAGGGGTCCTGAGATGTCCCCTCCACTTCCATGTGTGGGAAGGCACCCTTGCCATGCTAGGTCATTGGGGGGTGAACTCAGAGCACCTCTGCTGTTCCCAATGGACAGTAGGAATTCCTTGCTGAATCCCAGTTCTTTTGAGGGTGGGTGGGCTCATGTCTGACCAATGGGAAAGCTGGATGAAATATGAGAAGACGACTGTTTGAGGACACCTGGGAGCAGTAGGGCAGAAGCCCAGAGAGCTGCGGCTGGTGTCAGGCAACCGAGAGCCCGGCTGGTCCTCCAGCCAACACACCCACTCCGGCAGGGGCTGCATCGTGGGCCAGAAATGGGCCGGGTGGGTGGAGACTAAAACACAGGTCAGATACCCCTTAGGCCTGCCGGAAGCCAAAACGTACTCTCTTCTGGAGACAAGCTCGTGGAGAGCCCCGGATCCTCTCCAGCCCTGCTCACACACAGCCTGGGCCCAGTGAGGAGTCAGTGGGCCGACAGAAGGACCGGCAGAGAGCCGGAGGGTGCAGAGTCGAGTTTAGTCCTGCAACTGAAATGGGACGTGCGGACTTGAGAACTCTGTCCCAACCAAGAAAGAGTGAGACCTGGGAGAGGCCTGCGCAGATGTCCAGGCTGCAGTGCCAGAGGACAGTCGTCCCCGGGGAGAGTGCATTGAAGGCCGTATGGCCCGGAGCTCCCACACCAGGAAGGACCCAAAGCCCCACATTCAGAGGGTCAACAGCAGGACCCACAGTGATTCTCAACCGAGGCGACGGGAGCCAGGAGATCACAAGTGGTACCAAAATACCAAGAGAAGGTGACTGCTGACTTAGAATCCTAGAGCTGGAGAAAACGTCCCTCAGGACAAAGGTAAAATAAAGTGCTGAAGCCACCCCGGGAGAGACAACCCGACGGGGCCCGCAGGAGAGCCGACCAGGCCATGCAGGGCCCTACACGGGAAGGGAAAGGGTTACGGCCAGAAGAGCACAAAGACATGACAGGGGGCGTATGAGTCCATTTCTGTCGCTTATAACAAAATACCTGAACTGGGGAATTTGTAAAGAGACTGTATTTATGTCTTACGGTTTTGGAGGCTGGGAAGTCCAGAGTCCAGGGAACACCTCTGGTGAGGGCCTTGTCCTGATGGTGACTCTACAGCGATGCAGGGTGTCCCGTGGCAAGAATGGCAGGAGCAGGGAGACACTGAGCTCCTCACTTTCCTTGTAAAGCCCAGGACCACCTTTACCCATCAGTTTACTAGTCTGTGCCTAGATCTATGCATTCACAAGACACAGTCCTCACAGTCCAGCCACCACCTCACGGCCCCACCGTCGTAGGATCTCCCACCCTCTTAACACTGTCACAGTGGGGGTCAAGTTTCTAATACTTGGACTTTGGGGGACACCGTCCAATCCGTACCAGGGAGGGAGGGACAGAAATTGGGGGGAACCAGTGTGGGTTGCATTGAACCATACCCCAGGGACAGTGACATCAGGGGGTCACTATCTGGGAAGTGGTGAAAGCCCCAATTAATGCTAAAACTTAAAGTAAAGGATGCATGATGTCACCTCAAGGAGAAGCCGAGAACAGAAGAAGAACATGCAGATAACAGAAAGGAGAATGGCCGACGGAACATGTTTTTCAAAATCAAACTTAATCCAAAAGAGGGCAAGAGAGGAAGGAAAAAGAAACATAAAACAGATGGAACAAATAGGAAATAGGGAGTAAAATAGTAGGTTTAAACTCAAATGTATCGGTATGCACGCTACACACGAGCAGGCTAAATTCTCCTGTAGAAGAGGAGCGGCGCCAGTGGGGAAGCCGCTCACGAGACGCTTCCTGACCATGAGGACGGGGACGCTGGAGGTGGGCCCTGTGTGCGCACGTGTGTGTGATGTGTGCGGTGTAAAGTGTGCTACGTGGCGTGGTGTGTTCCTGTGTGTGTGTTTGGTATATAGTGTGTGGTGTATGGTGTGGTTTGTGTGTGGGTGTGTGCGGTGTGCTGTGTGCAGTGTGGTGGGGTATAGTCTGTGTGCTGTGCAGTGTGGTGTGGTTTGTGTGTTGTTTGTGGTGTGCAGCGTGGTGGGGTATAGTGTGTGTGTGTGTGTGTGTGTGTGTGGTGTGGTATGTGTGAGGTGGGGGGTGTGTTGTGT